AAAAAAAACAACAAAAAAACAATACTGCAAATAAAAAAAAATAAAAAATTTGAAAGCTTTGACTCAACTGAGAATCAAGCAGACAGAATCTGTAGCTGATCCACATGTATAGTATGTCACATGTGGTGAGTTATTCTGATTTTATCAGCTGCAAAAAGCAGGACTGCATTTCTCGCAAAAATGTATAGTTTTCTTAGAAGCAAAAAAGTTGGAAACAAAAGTTATCTTAAATACTCTGGTTAAAAAATCCAGGTGACTTTTTTTAGAAATAACTACAGAGACGTTCTTAGTTTAAATTTACTAACAAAGCCACCTACTGACAGCAGTTTTCTATATCATCTGTGCAACAACTCATCATCTGTTGAGCCAGATGTCACCAGAAATAGATGCTATATAGAAGCAACGCTCACCAGAGATGAGATGATACAAGCCTGGACCAACGCGGGTTTACTGAATGACAGAACCGATTCGTCTCTCTTTTGTTCTCTGCTCTTTCTTTCACCATCTCGCAGGCAACATGTCTTCACTCCAACGGAGAAGCAAGAGATGAGAGGCGGCCCAAAGCAACAGAAAAAAATGACGGATGGACACACTGAGGCAGGAAACAGTCAAGAGGTATTGTGACACACGGGGCTTCTTGATTTCTTCACGAAACTTGATGAATCAGACTGGGTGTCCACAGAAACACACACACAAACCCACACGCCCAACCCTGTCAGCCAACATGGAAGGGGCTGATTTTTTAAGCTTTGTTTGCATCAATAAAAGCAAATCAGCAAAAGAAGAAAAAAAAAAGAGAAATCAGTTTTTACATTCCAGCTTTCTCTAACTCAAAAAACGGTATCATTGAGTCCAGTCTAGACTTGTTGATCTTTTTTTTTATAAGCAAAGAAAAATGACTGAACTCCCTTATCTTTATGCTAAAGTAAAGCTCTAAAATCCGTGCAACACGTAGGAAGGTTTCTCCACAAATATGACCAAGTGTTAGATTTCTACCTTACTACCCTTGTTTAACCAAAAACCCTAAACTGCATATTTTTATCGATGTAATCCCTCATCTACTAGAAGGGGTGGATATGCTAAAACTGGTCAATTAAATCCTAAAAAAGGAAAGCAAAAGGACTCAAGTTAAGCAAACATTTCTACTTAAACCCTGCTGTATAATCTTGCAAAAAGCATTCCTAAAGAGGAGAGTTTGTTTATTCTGGAACCTTAATGTGGTGAAAGACGAGGTAACTTTTTTTCTTTACTGTCATTTTTACTCTGATTTAAGACTTTGTTTAAGTGTATATAAAGAGGTAACCCAGTTGTGTTTTGGTTATTTAAAGACAACATCTTGAGGTAGATATATGGATACATTTTTTCGATTTAATTTAAAGCTTTAGAAAGAAGACAGCAAGTGGTGTATCCCGTTTGAATAAAAAAACAAAAAAAACAAAATAATGATATTTACATGGAGCCTATGCTCGTTAGAAGGCCAGCGTGTCCTGTTTTGATTTTTGTATGGACGCTTATAAGCCAGTGTGGGCAAGGCACCAAAATGCATGGCACTTAAAAAACATAAATCAAACCAAACAAGCTGGTATCCAAGTACAAATTCTAGATCTTGCAGCTTTACTGGGAGTTCCAACTAATTTCATGTTGCCAAGTCGAAAGGATTGGTCTATTTTTGAATCCCTTTTAAAGAGGCATTTTGTCAATTTTACTGAAAAATATCTTTAAAATAGCCTTTTATTTGACCCTTTATGATTAAAACTTTGTCTGATGAGCAGAATGACACCTCAGCAGTTCAACCCCCAATGCATCTATAAACCTGTAGCCTATTTTCCTTAATGTGCTTTGGGTCAGTTCGGCGGATGTGACATCAAGCGGATGTTGAATGGGTCCGACCTAGCAAAAAATTGAAGCGTTACATACTAGGTGGAATTTGTGGATACTCAGAAGTGACCGACATCCAGCTCAACTCTGACACCAATGACTCCAGGTAAGGGGAGAAAAGTAAAAATAAAACTCAAAACTGAACAAGCAGTAGAAAACTATCATGCCTCTTTAAGACCCAATCCCAATACAACCTCTAGCCCTACCATGCCCAAATTGTGCACCGTGAGAGTAGTTGTGTGGCAATACCTCTTTGCATGTTGAAGGCACGGGTATATTTGCACAAAATGTGGGCAGGTATCATACAGAGAGTTACAGAATGCATGAAACGTATTATTTATGTTTTCACTTTGTGATTACGGGTCAGGTCGAACTTTATTATTTACGGGTCTGTGCAGTCCCAGGTTTTAAATAGGGATAATTGTGGGTAACAGCTCGGGTCTTGGTTCTGAACTCTAAGGGTTTGGGCAGATGCAGTTTGAAAAAAATCTGACCCATGCAGGACTCTGGTAGGGGGTATAAATCTAGCCTAAAAATTGATATATATTTGAGATGGTGACTTTCCAGGGAAGAGCCAACAGTTTTTTTACTGCAAACATTAAGGAGTGACTCACATTGTTTTTTCCACTTTTGAAAGACAAACAAAACCGGCATTGCTGCTCTGTGTTCACCTGATTCGGCCGGGTGGAGCAGTGTTTTTGAGCTCAGACAGGGACAGTATGAAATTAGTATGACACCGACTAAGAGGGCACCAAACACAGAAAGAGGCTGCCAGAGGTGCCCCTTTCTGGAGCCATGGTGGGAGATTAGAGAATCAAGATACCAGAGTGAGGAGAGAACTTAGCGGCTAGCCAGTGCTAGCTCAGAAGGAGAGTGGAGAAGCAAAATGATAGATCGGAGAAGCCTGCTATAGACTTTCCCAGACAAATACTAATCATATCAAGGACTTATCATGTAATCTCAGGTTAAATAGCTATTGTTTTTTTGTTTGCTTTTTTAAATCTAAGTGCATACCAACAGTAAATACGCAGTCATTTATGTACCATAATGTACACTATATTGCCAAAAGTATTTGCTCACCTGCCTTGACTCACATATGAGCTTAAGTGACATCCCGTTCCTAATCCATAGGGTTCAATATGACGTCGGTCCACCCTTTGCAGCTAGAACAGCTTCAACTCTTCTGGGAAGGCTGTCCACAAGGTTTAGGAGTGTGTTTATGGGAATTTTTGACCATTCTTCCAGAGGCGCATTTGTGAGGTCGCACACTGATGTTGGACGAGAAGGCCTGGCTCTCAGTCTCCGCTCTAATTCATCCCAAAGGTGTTCTATCGGGTTGAGGTCAGGACTCTGTGCAGGCCAGTCAAGTTCATCCACACCAGACTCTGTCATCCATGTCTTTATGGACCTTGCTTTGTGCACTGGTGCACAGTCATGTTGGAAGAGGAAGGGGCCAGCTCCAAACTGTTCCCACAAAGTTGGGAGCATGGAATTGTCCAAAATGTCTTGGTATGCTGAAGCATTCAGAGTTCCTTTCACTGGAACTAAGGGGCCAAGCCCAGCTCCTGAAAAACAACCCCACACCATAATCCCCCCTCCACCAAACTTTACACTTGGCACAATGCAGTCAGACAAGTACCGTTCTCCTGGCAACCGCCAAACCCAGACCCGTCCATCAGATTGCCAGATGGAGAAGCGCGATTCGTCACTCCAGAGAACGCGTCTCCACTGCTCTAGAGTCCAGTGGCGGCGTGCTTTACACCACCGCATCCGACGCTTTGCATTGCACTTGGTGATGTATGGCTTGGATGCAGCTGCTCGACCATGGAAACCCATTCCATGAAGCTCTCTGCGCACTGTTCTTGAGCTAATCTGAAGGCCACATGAAGTTTGGAGGTCTGTAGTGATTGACTCTGCAGAAAGTTGGCGACCTCTTCGCACTATGCGCGTCAGCATCCGCTGACCCCGCTCCGTCAGTTTACGTAGCCTACCACTTCGTGGCTGAGTTGCTGTCGTTCCCAAACACTTCCATTTTCTTATAATACAGCTGACAGTTGACTGTGGAATATTTAGGAGCGAGGAAATTTCACGACTGGATTTGTTGCACAGGTGGCATCCTATCACAGTTCCACGCTGGAATTCACTGAGCTCCTGAGAGCGACCCATTCTTTCACAAATGTTTGTAAAAACAGTCTGCATGCCTAGGTGCTTGAATTTATACACCTGTGGCCATGGAAGTGATTGGAACACCTGATTCCAATAATTTGGATGGGTGAGCAAATACTTTTGGCAATATAGTGTATATGCAGCGAGGGGTGTCCCAATTCCTAGGGAAGACCACAAAGCCCTAACTCTACTGGCTTCAGTTCCAGGGTGTGTTGGTAGTGTGTGAGGGCTAGTGGTTGAAAGTAGGGGATGCATTGGGAATAGGCATTGGGATTGGGCCTAAGTGATGCTTTCTAGGTAACTAACAGCATTTATTTATTCTCTGCTTATTTAGGGTATTTTATGATTTGTTTTGTACTTGTGGAATGCTGCACAATATATCAACTAGCAATCTAAGATCTAAAGTGTCTCGCAATGGCTGGGGACTGCTCGCATGCAATATTTGGTTTGGATATCAAATGTCAAAAGATATGCATTAAAACTTTGTTTAGACTTCTATTTCACTTGATGCATTTAGCTTTACATTTACCAGATGTACAAGCTCACAATAACTTTGATAGTATAAAGCAAACAAAGATTCTCAGTCATCCAGGTCATATTCATTTCAAAAAAGTTTCTTAGCCAAAAAAAAGGCTTTGTTTTGGTCCACTCTATTAAGCCTCAAACTAAAAGCTAATTCTGATATTTTGAATTGAAAAAGCTTCCTGGAAGGGAAGCGAAACGTCTTCAAACTTGGAAACAAATTCCAGTGGATTATTTTTTTTACTTTTTTGGAATGCATACGTGCAACTATTATGTCACAATTACTTATTTTTTCATTATGCTGTGAAGTTGCTAAACTCTTTTACTAAAAATGCAGCTCTACCCTCAGGTTAAACTGGGTAGTAGAAAAAACTAATTTGAAAAAAAAAAAAAAAAAAGGAGCAAGAAAAGAGAAAGAGGAGCAGTAGATTTACCAGGACATCCGCCATGCCGTGAGGGTGGGCAGTCTGTTAGCGTGCGAGTCGTCAGGGATGTTAGCAGGCTGGACACATGCATGTCATCCCCCCTTCTTCTTCGGACCTCTCCTTTACAAACACAAGCAGGCACGCACACACCCACACAAGCGTGAGAACACACCAAGGAGAACATACAAATGTGTTCACAGACAAGCGTTTGTGCAAAATTGCAGAACAGAAAAGCACAAGATGCAAATTTTCTCATACAAGTAATAAAAAAAGGAAAAGCAAAGACAAAAAAAAACCATCCCCAAACATTTAAATACATGGAGGAGAACCCGCACAGCAGCATATATAGCAGCCACAACATGCACAAGAAACCCAATGGAGATAAGAACATGGTGTGTACACCGGCAATACAAGCACACACACGCACACACACACACACACACACACACCCAAACAAAAGAAGAGAAGAAAAAGGCCAAAGTGAATGTGTGTCCCAACTCTGACCATGAATTCTATCAATTACATCAGTTTCTGAATAGTTCAAATTATGTCAAAATGTTAAATTAATGACTATAAGAATTAATTTAAGATATGTCAAACTTGGGGCTTAGAAGACAAAAACATGATTCTATATGTTTCAAGTATTAAGAATATTTTTCAACATTGTTTAAGAAACCTTGGCATATCCTACCCTCTCTGTCGTTTATTACAATAAAAGACAATCAGTTACTTTAATATAAAATATAAAAATGTGAAAGAAAGAAAAATTAAGCCCTTTACATTAGTGAAATCATTTAAAACGCTCATTAGAGAAGCACTTCTTTTTTTTTAAATCTATGAACTTCAGACTTTCAATCAGCAAAGTCTTAATACAAAAAAAGATTTTCTTAAAGAAATTCTTATCTATCAGATACAAATCCAATTAAATGCTCGTGAGGAAGGTTTTAATGTAGATGTAAATTGTATGTACATTCTATTTTACAGTGCCTTATAAAAGTATTCACACCTTTTCCTGCATATTAAGTACAAAATGTAACATATTTTACTGGGATTTCATGTGACAGACCATCACAAACTGACATATTAATAAAGCGAAAGAAAAAGCATGGCTTTCAATTTTTTCTATCCCTGTAACTGTGTTACAAAGTCATTATTTTGCAGGAGCACTTTGTGGTTCAACCATAAGAGAAAAATATTTTAGGATGTCTCCTCAGCAGCTTTGCATGTAAAAAAAAAAAAAAAAAAAGATATTTTGTCCATTAAAGAGTGTTCCTTGAGGCAAATAACTAAGATATTATTTGAAGTTGTGCAACATATTTCCAATTGGATTTAGATCTAAGCTTTTTTTGGCTCCTGATTGTAACTCTGCTTGAATGCTTGCAATCACTCTTCTGCTGGATTGTAACTCCACTCATATCCAGTCAGCTGCTTCTTCCAACAAGTTTTCCTCCAGGATCACCCTGTAGTTCAGCTTCATCCATATTCTAGTGAAATCTGACTAGCTTTCATATCTTTACTGAAAATAAAGCATCCCACATCATGATGCCGCCACCACTGTGTCTCCAGTCCTATTAAACACAATAATATGTGATCCAAAACAAACACTTGCTTCCTTTGTTCTCTGGTATGCACGTTGAAGTTGTTTTTTTAAAGATTGGGAAGTTGTTTTATATCTTAACCTTTTGGTGCTGCTTGTTCAGTATTATCTAAAGAAATCTAAAGCCTCCACAGATTAGCTGGATGTATTAGTTAGAAGGACTATGAACATATAATAATGTGACTTGTGGAAGAAATCTGTTGGTGTAGACTAATTTTTCTGGACATAAAAGTAAGGACAAATATAAAACCCGGCCACATTTTTTTAGATATTTTGGGGATTAAAATTTTAAAAAACCTTCTATGTCCTTTTTCTTCAAATTTACGCTTATGCATCAGTTTGTGCAGTTCTATCATATAAAATACATGTGTTTGTAATGGGGAAACTAAAATCCCTCATCTCCATTATAAAATTAAATATGTAAATTTTTAAAAGGTGGTAGAGTAGAATTATTTTTGCTAATTCATTGTAATATGAACCATCAGACATTCAAACAAGCTTTTTTAATGCAACCTGGTTGGAAGCCATACTGGATTATATGTCTGTGGTTGAACAAGAATCTTCAACTTTTGTAATACAGCATTTCATTCTAAGAGCTCTTTCTGCTGTTTTGGGGCTTTTATTTTTTTTTTATTACTTGTTTTGTTCTTTTTTCCATCAATATCGAACACAGAGTTTATGACTTTCAACGACAAATAAAATCCATGTGCAGGAGAGCACTTAATATGAGATTCCTGGCAATCAAAAATAATCCAAACAGTATACACCCTTTAATCAACGCCTACAGTCATCCAACACAATAAGTGAGATTTTTTTTCCTGATAGTATGCCTGTATTTACCCTTAGACACTATTTTAAAGTGCACATAATGGTGGTAATTGAGTGAATAAATGCTCGAAACAAAATTATTTGAAAAACCTTCCAAAAAGTGGACACAAGCTTTAAGCAGCTGCCCATTAGAAATATCCTTGCAGAGATAGTTCACCTTTGAAATCCCCATCAAGTGAGCAACTTGAAATCCACATTGAAACCATGAGACAGAGATTAGTTGCAAGGCTGTTGCTCATCAAGCAAATTATCATGAATAAGGAAAACTAATGATGGTAAGAAGTTATTCTGGACTGAGTGCTAGAGGAGTCAGCAATCACTGCATGTTATAGGAAGAACAAATAAGCTTTCCTTGACACTTTTTGATTACTGAGTTGTATAATTGGCAACAAACCAGTACTGTATGTGAAATGTACTCTTTATGATCAGGACAAGAAAACAAAAGAGCACAGCAGAAAGCTGTTAGATGTGAAAACAAATAGCTTATGGCTTGTCTTCTGCTGCTCACTTGATAAATATATTTCCAACTGTTGAAATGTATAGTTTAATAAGTAATTTAAATAAAACAGTAGAAGATGTATTTATGCGCTTTTGGAAGCACAACCCCAACAAATAGAATCAAATTCAATATGACATTTAAAGAAGGTTATTTTCTAAATTTAAATTAATAAAAATAAACACAAACAAAACTGTATTGGGAAAAAAAATAGCAAAAACATTATATAAGACTATGTAACTTTGCTGCCTCTTGGCCAGAACTCCCTTGAAAAATAGATTTTTAATCTTAATGGGATTTTTTCCCCCCTGGTTAAATAAAAAAAGTTAATAAAAAAGTTGAATAATTACCTTAATCTAGTGTTCTTATATCCTTATCAACAAACCAAATGTTTTTTGCTGTCAAACTGTTGCTAAACGGAGCTTCTTGATGACACATCATCATTCTAATGTTGGTAATCATACATCTTTATTTGTAAAGATACTTAGCTAAAGAATCGGGAAATCCAATGATTTTAAAGATTGCTTTAAATAATAAATACCAATACTAGAATAAAATCTAAAGACAGCACTCTGAGTGTCAATTATACTTTAGTATGTCTATAAGACTGTAACTTTCTCTGTAACACCTAAACATAGATAAGCAAAGATGAATCATTTAAAGTGATAGAATATTGAACAGGCTTGAGACTTTTTTAGTCTACTCCAACTGATCAGAAAAGAAACGGATACAGAGTTTCCTAAGTCAGGGAGTGCAGAAACATATTTAGACCTGGTGCAAGATGAGGCACTAAATGGAGTCGTCTTCAGTATCTGAACTTCTGTACGATATTCCAATCAATATAGGGGGGCCTTAGTTAAAATGATGGTTAAGTTTAGTCAGGGTACGGAGTACGACTTTACTAACTTTAGGTTTTAAAGGGTGACAGCAAAGTTGTCACTTTAAATCTGTTTATAAACTCCCAGAGATGTATTCCAAGAGATGTTTATTAGGGCAACATTTTCAGTAGTTTGCCTTATACATATTTTCGTCTTTTTCTGCTGTTCCATCTGGGACAATCAACCTACATATACATTAGAAGTGTTATTTAAAGAGTTTGTCCCAGGTGATATCTTCTCAGGAAACGAACCGGAGAGAGAAAGCTTCAAGGTGAGAACACAGAGTTTTACTTAACATTGCCAATGGGTTGTTTCCCCATGACATGTACTTATTGTAACCAATGCACAAGCTGCAACATAAACCCTGTACCTAGATAATGGGGCATGGTTTACATTCCAGGCGGTCTATATACTACACCTATCTACATTCAAAACAGAGGTGTAGTTCTTAGTGGGCTTTTCCAATCTGTCTGCTGCATCCCATTTACCTCAGGAGTTAAAATTGATCAAAGAATAATCCTACATTCGCAGAACCTGTGTTTCAAACGCTATTTATAAGGTTTTTAAGTTGTGAAAGGGTGGCTTCTTTAAAAGAGTAATGCATTTAGATATACAGGTGCTGGTCATAAAATTAGAATATCATGAAAAAGTAGATTGATTTCAGTAATTCCATTTAAAAAGTGAAACTTGTATATTATATTCATACATTACATACAAACTCATATATTTCAGATGTTTATTTTGTTTAATTTTGATGATTACAAATGACAACAAATGAAAATCTCAAATTCATCATATCAGAAAATTAGAATATTGTGAAAAGGTTCAAAATTGATGGCCCCTGGTGCCACACTCTAATCAGCTAATTAACTCAAACCACCTGCAAAAGCCTTTAAATGGTCTTTCAGTCTAGTTCTATAGGCTACACAATCATGGGGAAGACTGCTGACTTGACAGTTGTCCAAAAGACGACCATCGACACCTTGCACAAGGAGGGCAAGACACAAAAGGTCATCGCTAAAGAGGCTGGCTGTTCACAGAGCTCAGTGTCCAAGCACATTAATAGAGAGGCGAAGGGAAGGAAAAGATGTGGTCGAAAAAAGTGTACAAGCAAGAGAGATAACCGCACCCTGGAGAGGATTGTGAAACAAAACCCATTCAAAAATGTGGGGGAGATTCACAAAGAGTGGACTGCAGCTGGAGTGAGTGCTTCAAGAACCACCACACACAGACGTATGAAAGACATGGGTTTCTGCTGTCGCATTCCTTGTGTCAAGCCACTCTTGAACCACAGACAGCGTCAGAAGCGTCTTGCCTGGGC